GTTAAAGTTGTCTTGGTTCATTGTGTTGCTGAGAATAACCAAGTCATTCACAATTGATCACCTTACAATATCGCTGTTACTGTGTATAGTATTTTCCTGGTTCTGCTCATTTCACTTTGTATCAGTTCATTTAAGTCTTCATTTCTTGGCAGAGATACTGGAGTGGTTTACCATTTCCTTCTCCAGCTCATTTTTCAGATGAGGAAACTGAGGCAAATAGGATTAATTGATTTGTCCTAAGTCACACAGCTAGTGTCAGGCCAGATTTGAACTCAGGAAGATGAGTTTTCTTGACTCTAGCCTCAGCACTCTATATCTGCTGCATCATATAGCTGCCCCTGAGCTCTCCTGGTCAGTGCTTATGTTATCTTGTTTCTAAAACCTGACCCTCACTTTCCTCCTCTCTATCTTGTTCAAATAAACTAGGCAGAATCTTTTTAGCCTCAGCAGCCTTGCCACTAAGCAATGAAAAATAAAGGAGATTGTACCTGTTGTCTGATCCTGGCACCTGTAACCTGGCCAGGCCTTCTCAAGAGGAGGATTGGGTCAGAATTTTATTGCTTTTTTTGCTGAAGACCACTGGAAAACTTTCAAAACAGTGGAAACCACGTTCTCCAGTGTACATTATAAAGTGAAAGGTAGAACAGAGTGGATTTCTGAGCAAGAAAATAGATATCATTTCTGAGTTCATTTTATAAAAGGATCACCAGATACATTGTTCATCTTGTGGCTTCAACTAGAGCATCTCAGGTAACTTTTGCAGTGATTGCAACTAGAGAGACAAGGGAAGAGAGAGACAGACAGAGAGAGAGAGAGAGAGAGAGAGAGAGAGAGAGAGAGAGAGAGAGAATAATTTACTCTGTGTTTCAGAGTTAAGTAAACTACCTTTTCCAGAATTTTTCTGGAGTGAAAATTACCCCCTCCCTACCAAGAAACTTAATATTGAGTAATCATAATGACCAAGCTTTGCTTTGCCCTGAGGAATTGTTGAGAAAATATACCTCCCTTCCTTCCCTGCAGAGGTGGGGATTAAGGATGTGGATTATTACGTATACTGTGATTACGTATGTGGAACATTGCATATATTATCAGACATAATTGTTATGTTCATTGGTTTTTCTGAATTACTTTTTTTCTTTCTTTTTAAAAGTCTGTGTTATAAGAGATAGTTTTGTTATAAAAGAAGTGGATGAGGACAAAAGGGAAAGACCCTAGAAATGCAGAATTGGGCAGAGGAGCAGTCTGCCCTCGAACATATGTTGGATGAAAAATGTATTAGAGGAAGGAATTTTACCACATTCACTAAAATAACTGTCTCGAATTGATGCTGAGTCAAAGCCCTGGGAGGAAAGGCCCAATATCAGTGGTCTACTGATAACATCCAGTTTCTAGAAGCATCAAAGACTGTGTGGAAAGGGTCTGATATGAATATTCTACCCTAGATTCTCAATGGAGGTCAAATAATTTCTCTAGAGCCATCAACCCTAGAGGATGCCCAACTGTAGAGAACAGGGACTGAACCTGTGATTTTATTGGTATGGACAACTCCTAGGTGAGAGTACTTCTTCACCAATGCAAGTTGACACCTCTTTTTCAATTTATTGTCAAAGAGTATTGGCCAAAATACTGAGAAGTTAAGTGACCATTTTGCCCAAGGTCATGTAGACAGTGGCTCTAAGAAACTTTTTCTGAGAAACTGTTTATAAATTTTCCCCCAATTTTTAACTTTCCTTCTGATCTTGGCTACATTTGTTTTAATTGCACAGAACCTTTTTAATTTAATGTAACCAAAATTTTCCATTTTACACCTAACTTTGCTCTCTATCTCTTGTTTATTTATAAATTGTTCACCTGTCCATAAGTCTGATGAGTGATACGGACCGTGTTCTAATTTTCTTGTAATATCTCTCTTTATATCTAGGTCATATGTCCATTTTAACCTTATCTTGTTGGTAAATGGTATAAGATATTGGTCTATGCCCAGTTTCTGCCATACTGCTTTTCAGTTGTCCCAACAATTTTTACCAGATAATGAGTTCTTGTCCCAAAATTTTAAGTTTTTATACTTGTCAAATACAAGGTTATTACATTCATTTGCTGATGTAATTTGTAAGTTTACTCTATTCCATTGATCCACCTTTCTATTTCTCAGCCGGTACCAGATAGTTTTGATAATTACTGCCTTACAATATAGTTTAAGATCTGGTACCGTGCTCTGAAGCTGGTTCTGCACTAAACCGCACAATCTCTAATCCAACTAAAAATTCAACAATTGAACAAACTTTTGTTAAATGTGTCACTGAGTGCAAGACAATTAGAGACTGTTTTCAATAATGCTCTCACCCAGTGATTGCAGTGGGGTGTTAACCTCTGTTTATTTCAGAAATTCTAGTACCCTGTCCAATGTCCAGAATTATCCTTCATCAGGCCTTCTAACTCTATAAGAAAGTGATTTTCAAACTTTCTGGTCGCAGGATCCCTTGCCACTCTTAAAACTTGGTGAAGGAAGCATACTATTTGCTCTTTTTTTTCTTCTGTTTTGTTTTGTTTCTTCTTTCTTGTGTCTAATTCTTCTTTACAACATGACATATGAAAATATGGTTAATAGGAATGTAAATGTAGATCCAATATCAGATTGTATGCCATCTTGGGGAGAGAGGTGGAGAAAATTTAAAACTCAGAAGATTATGAAAGTGATTGTTGAAAACCAAAAATTAATTAATTTTTTTTAAAAAAGTTGGTGAGGAGGGTCCCCCCAAAAGCTTTTATTTGTGTGGATTTTATCTATTGATATTTGCCATATTCTAGAAATGAAAACATCTTAGTATTATTATGAAAATAGTTTTGATCTCACAGATCCCCAGGAAGGGGGTTCCCTGGATCGCATTTTGAGAACTGCTCTTCTAGGCCAAGTCCACTAGCCCTACGTGCACAGCTAAAGAGAGTGGGCAAGAAAGGTAGGAGATGATGAGTTCAAACAAGGACAGACTGCCAGAGGCCTAGTGGATGAGAGGTTGTTTCTTTATATGAAGATGGCACTAAGTCTGAGAAGGTATCTGAGGAGCTAAGAAGGCAGATCATGTGATCAAAGACCCTCCCAAAGGAAAGATGATTTGAAGACACTTTGAAACTAAGAAAAGGAGAGAAACTGGAAATTTGGGTGGAGCAGATGACAGGGGTCTGAGCCAGAGACCAAAGGGAAGAGGATGGGTGGATCCTATAGAGAATTGATGATGAAATATGAGAAGAGCAAAGGGGAGGAGGTTTTGGGTCTCTGTATTCTGAGCGGGGGACGTAATAGAGATGGGTGGAATTTTGAGCAAAAGTGTGTTTGATGCTGAGTTTCATTTTGGTCATGGACCTTAGTTCACTGTCATCTAGGTTCATTGACCCTGCCCCAAGCATCCACCCTCTCCTTCCCTCCAGCAGAGGGCCCCATCCCCTTCCCCAGTGGTCTAGAACACAAACAAGAAACATTGGGGGTAGATTGGAGGAGTGGGGGGAGAGGCACCACCCATCCAGGATAGCTCACACCTACTTGTAGGGCCAGTGCCCTATCCACTATGCAACCTAGCTGCCCCTACTGCAACATTAAAGAACCACTGTGGGGGCAGCTAGATGGTGCAGTGGATAGAGTACTGGCTCTGGAGTCAGGAGGACCTGAATTCAAATCCAGCCTCAGATACTTGACACTAGCTGTGTGACCCTGGGCAAGTCACTTAACCCCATTGCCTAGCCAAATATATATATATGCTGAAGAGAGCAGAAGGAAGTTCAGAAGGGAACACAGATAAGCAGGGGAAATTCTACTTCTACTAGTAATTACTACTATTGCTACTGTAATTCTATTACTAGCGTTAAATTTAACATGCACATAAAAACACCCAAATTGTATATAACAGAAGTTCATAGTTTCCTATGCAACCCTCCTTTTGGCTCTTCTTTGTATATTGAAACACTCATGCTTATTAAGTTCTGATTTAAGTCCAGAATGCTGTTATCCACTACGCCAAAAAAAGAGAATCAGGTTTATTGAGGAGTGGGAAGTGGGAGTAAAATATGGGAGGATGAGTTCAGCTTTGGACAAACTGAGTATGAGGTGCTGACTAGACCATTAGCAAGAATGTTCCCTGGGATTAAGATACTAGGCAGAGTCTTAAAAATAGAATATATAGGAACAAAGAGAAATTAATCAAATCAGGACAAGGCTTAAGTTCTAAGTTAAATTATATTGAGATAGGGAGAGAAATATACACTCATTACTGATTCCTTAGGGAGGTACAAGTGCCTCCAGCTGAAAATGGTTAAAAGTAATTTGGTGTAGTCTGTTTGGAAGAGAACTGGGATCATCAAAGGTGAGGTCTGGGTAGATATTTTATAGGGGAAAGAAAGAAAGAAAGAAAGAAAGAAAGAAAGAAAGAAAGAAAGAA